ATTACTATATCTTTTCGATTATCAGTAAGGCTGAGCATTACCTATTCCCCAGAAACGTCGAACATTATTTTTCTGTATATAATTACGTAAACCATGTGGAGACTGTCTATTTCAGATCAAAGGGCAAAATTCTTTCAGGTACAGACAGTTTCTAATTTACAGAAAGGTTACATAACAAACCATGAGAATCTTCCTACTCATCATCATATGAAACATGGAAATTGGTGGTACAGCCACTTGCTTGAGGATCTTCAGCTCCGCAGCAATCATAAAACTTGGCAGCATAAGGAGGATCGTCTGGTCCTAGTTCGTAATACCTACAAAGAGAAAAGAAGGCAGAGACTATCAACTAGCCAACCATCCTTCAGAAACTATCTTGCATGATATAAATATAGAAATACCACTCCCGCATAGTGAATAGATATGGAGGAAAACCAGCCATGGATATACTAATACAAGAAAGTGAAGTGGTAGAATTTACAGGTTAATAGCTAATGTTATCTTTCTAGCATGAAAGTAATGCCATCCTCATATTCTCGTTTTCCTCAAAACTATGAGATTCTTGTCATTTTTGCAATCAATACAACCAAGTAAAACTGTTACTAGAGTATACTGCAGCCCAGGGGTAGATTATCAATCTCACTAGAGTAGACAGAACAAGTAAGCCAACTGCAATTCTGCATACGTTCCTGCACCAGTTTTTTTTCCTTTTCCCATTTCCCATCTTCTTTTCCATTTTAAAATTTTAATGAGATTTGAACATTTGAAGCTATGCCGAACTAGTTTGGGATTGAAGTGTAGTTGATTGATTGATCAGGATGGTGGACCTTGCTTTGAACAAATTAAAAGGGGTCTAGGATTTGCCCGTAATTCCCTTACTGTTTTAAGCCAGACCCAGCCAAGATTTCCTTTTGAGCCTCCCTAGACAAAGGAATGCCACCTTATCAAGTAAAACCAGTTAAATTAGGTTGTTCGGGTGAAGATGATTGGGGTCAATTTTGGGCTAAATAATGGGTCATAACTCATAACCATCACACCCAACTTAAACCATTTTGTCATTTGTTTGACCTCTGTTTTGGTTTATAATTAGTTTAATTACCACAAATTGAAACAACTTTTTTGTTAATTATATATAGAGAGAAAAAGTGGATGATATTGGAGAAACCTTTTTCTATTGTTTGACGAAGTCTCCGGAGGGTCATTTTGAACTACCAAACTTTTAAATGAGTTAATTTGAGTTTTCTTTAAATTGGCCCAATAAATATTTCTAATTCCACCCGTCAAAGTTTGAAGGGTTGGACGGGCTACATAAATTCATATGAGCAATGTTGACACTGTATGAGTAATGGCGCGCCTATAAGCCTCTATCAAGTTATGTAATGGTGCATCAATCCAGTAGATCCAAAGGTTTACAGATGTTCTCATTTCTTATAAGAAGAAAATATCAGTAGGCTGTCTCAGTTTCACTGAAACTGGTCTAAGTTCACTGCTGAAAGAGAATAACAACTTAGAGCTGCACCTCTAGAAGAAACACACCTTTTCACACACAAAATCATGTATGCACATTTATTTTTTCTTGTCAGTCGGGTGGAATTTGTCAAAAGGGAGCAAGAAGTAAGGTGCAAAGTGCCAAAAGATTAACAAGCAAGGATATGAGAAGGAATTAAATTCAAAAATATCAGACTAGCATTTTTCTTTTGTTTTTGTTATTCACTGATGTAACACCCAGACTAATTATGATACAGAGTGAATCTATGTGGGCTTAAGATAAGTTGTTGTGTGGCTTGTTCTTCTTGTACCTAGCGGGATGCAGTGTCAAGTAGTTAGCACGGAAACTCATGTCACAAGAGTCGTGTCTATGGACTTCAGCAGTTTCCAATTCTACAAGTGAAATCATTATGGGTGCTCAAGTTTCTAAAACAAACAAAAGGATCTTACTCCCTGAACATAAAAGGAAAATCTGCAGCACCTTCATTGAAGCATTCATAAGTAAACTATTGTGCTCAACCTAACTTGCTGACAATAATTACAAGTCTTATGCACATCAATGGGGAACCATTAACCCAGCATATTTTGGAAATAAATTGTATACAATTTCATTTAAAAACTGAGCACACAAATCAGATATTTAGGTTATTAGAGTCGTCCCTACTTCCTCGGCTCTATAAACGTGATCATCTTGAAATCTATGTTGCAATAACCTTCCCAGGTTAATTTTAAAACGTACACTCTTGTTCTAGACTTTGTAAACTGCAAACATATAAACCAGTGGATCTATGAGAAGCGGTAAACTAGTATGAAACTGCCATCCTATAGTGTCCAGATGAGTCCTTCCCTAGCAATGTATATGAGTGTTTGCAGGGAACTTTGCCGTAGTCAATACTTAATGAGATGAAGAGATTGATTTAACATGAGTTGATTGGTAGGGGTTAGCAACCACTAAGAAGATAAAACAGGGGGGGCTAGAAGCCACTAAGAAGATTAAAACGGGGCACCTAGGAATTAGGATGAGTTGATTGGTAAAGGATAGCAGCCCCTTGGAAGATGGAAATGTCGGGTCTCTTCATCCTGAAGATATCATTAATCTTTGGCCACAAAATTACTGTTTCATAATGGAACTTCTTTTATACCGAGAAATCCTTGAGGACGCATGGTTAGGAACTCAGTGGAAAATGGGACTGAATCTCATTGCACTTACTATTTCACATCACTTCTCCTTCGTTCTTTCACTCAATATAATTGAAAAGCTTGTTTCTGTATACTATGTACGATGTGCAGAAAAAGTTATGGTTGTCACATGATAGATATACATACCATGATTATCATAAATGAGATTAGATAAGTAGGTGTTCTGACTCCTTCCAGAAGAGGGAAAAAAGAACTTCTTGATCTAGATGGCCGATAGTGGTACCAGGTGGCAGGCAACATGAACTTCCAGTTAAAAGGAATAGTTGTACTTGATGTACCTTAAAGTATTCTTTTGGGAAGTTCTGAGTGAAATTCATTCCTATTCATTGTGAGCAGGTAGATAAAACTTAAGTACGTAAAGACTGGTATTGATCATGTCTTTTAAGTTCTAACAAAGATTTTCCGGCAGGACTCCCCCAATATTGGGAGTGGCATCAATTGAATTCAAGTATATTAGTGCAATGATCTTTATTTGATTACACTAGGTATGTCGTTGTTGTTGATCTTTATATGACACGGTGAAGTCTAAGAAATATTAAAGGTAAGGTCATTGGATAGCAGATGTTTGGTATGCATCACAATCAGATTTACACAAGCTACATCCGTGCATCACTTGATGTCGACTCTTAATTCATTTGACATTGCAAAACACAAAGTATATGAAAAAACCTAATTATCTATAATCAATAAGTACTATTTTTCCACACCCCCTAAGAGATCTTCACTTCTTCTATTAAAATTTAAAACGTTCCATGCTACGTATTGGCAGCATCAAGATTCAATGTCTTTGGCAATAAATCCTAGAGCAACCTAACTAAGGAGGTAAATTTAGCTGGCTCATGTTATTTGGCACAAAAGTTAGCTCATACAAAATCTCTACTCTAGTATCTCACCATATAATAAAGGGGCACTACAAACGAACCTACGACAGTAATATCTTTTCAAGACGGGGGTCAATGAAAATGGGGAAAAACATGTTTTTCTTTCTGTTGGGTGCACTAGAGACTGCATTATTTTTGTGTTCCTATCAAAGAGTAGCCGGACAACGCTAGAGTTCTCTCTGGATCTCTAATACCCATGTTGCTCGGACTCTCCAAAATTGTTGTTGCGGCCGTGTCTGATTCTCCAAAATGCACTACTTTTGAAGAATCCAAGCAACATAGCTAAAAAACAAGCATAAATTACACCTATCATATCTAAAACAATTTAAACAAGCTAAGCATATCCCTAATTGATAATATTCTTAAAAGTAATACAAACAAAAATTACTGGCATAGTCCAACTAAAGGCATGTCCAATTAGAACTTCACCCTCATAAATAACCCCATGCCTTTGTGATACAATTGTGAAATCACAAAGCACACAAGCAGTTGCAGTAATAACCCGTTGACACCCCTAATTTTCGTTAAGAAGACAAATTATTCCTGATTTGAACGAAATGGATCTGAATATATCAAAACAATTCACCAGACCCCAACTAAATTAATCAATTTGATATATCTGCCGACTGTCCTAATAAACAGCACTCAACTAATATATGAAACTGATAAGATTTTGATCCGTGAAAGAAACGATTAGGCAGAAAAACAAAAAATAGAGAGCTAAAACAGACAAGTGATACCTTTTCTGATCGTCGTGACGGCGACACACAAAGAAAGAAGGATGAAATCGACATGAATTAGAGTTGTTAGAAGCTGAATCATATATCTGTTTGCATCTCTTGCATACTTTCTCTCTGCTCCGATTCCCTTCTGCTTCCACTCCCGCTGTTTTTCCTGCTTTTTCCGCCATGTCCCAACTTCACCATTTATCGCGCACAATTCTGATCTAACCCAATTTATGCCGGTTCAAAAACGAATCGAAATCCATGATCTGAACCAAAAAATGTTTTTGGTCTATCAATAATGGGTTATTGGTTTAGTGGTTCAGATAACGGTTTTGATTTTTTTTGTTATCGAGTTATCGATTCTTAATGGTTTAAGGTTTTTTCTTAATGGGTTAACCGATTAGTAAATTAAATAATTTTATTTATACCATTTTGTATATAAAAGTCCTCAACTTAAAGTTTAGTTTCTTACTTTTATTTTTGGTTATGTCATAATCTTGGTTATTATACAATGTAAAAG